GTTTTATTTTGTCTTCTGAAATGGTCTCTTGGTCATATAGTTTTCCATAATAATTTTGAATCACTTTCTTTTTATCACCATTTTGATGGTAAACGTTTCCTCCCTCATCCATTAATTGAAGTTTAAGAAATTGAAGAAAAAAAATTTCCCTTCTCCTTTTCCAGTTTATATGCCAGCTCTCTTTATTTATTTATTTGCATTTAAAAAAAAATGTTTGGTATTTTTAATTTTTTGTGCTAATTATTCTATATTATATTTAACTTGTGTTTTATTAATTCCATTTGGTTTTTTTAAGTTCTTTTTTGTGGTTCTTTTTGTAATTCTGTTTCTAGTCTCTTATTGATGTCTTTTGGTTTTGTTTCTTCTTATTTTTCTTTCCCATGTAAGTTATGACTAAATCTCTAATATATGCCTTGGCTGTATCCCATACATTTTGTAATGAGGTCTCTTCTTTTCTATTCTCTTTAAAGAAAAAGTCTAATAGTTTTTCCATGATTTGAATACATTCCTTGTCTTTTAATATTGATTCAACATCCATCTTAATTTTCTTTTTTGTCCTTTCCATGTGACTTTTATTAGATTATGATCTGCCCAATTTCTTGTTTCTGTATTCAGTTCTTGTACATTAGATTTCACTTCAGCTGACATCCATATCATATCTATTCTTGATGAAGACATGTGCCTATTTGAATACAATGAGCATTGATTTTTCCTAGAATGTATCTTGTCATATATCTTGGATACCTAATTCTTCCGCCATTTTAAAGAAAGTATTTGGAAGCGTTTTCCTCACTGTTTTGCTCACTTTCATGGTTTTACTTGTAAATAGGTTTTGTTGTTCTAGTCACTCTTGTTTCTCTCTGTTCTTTTGCCTTTGCCCCTTCTCTCATTGATATTTCCTCTAATTCTCTTTCATCTTTTTTTTGGTATATCTCTCTCTCCTGTGGCTTCCTCTTGTTGTCTATCCTCTTTTTCCTCTTAGTATCATTCCCTCTTGTGATCCAAAATAGTGATCATAAAATTGTTCTGCTTTTTCTATGGAATCTAATCTATGTCTTTGCTCCATCCAAATATTCCCTCCGGTATCAGCCATCTAAAATTTACTCCATTCTTAATAAACTGCCTTGTCAAAAATTGATATTCCTTTCTTATCACTTACTCTTCTGAGGTTCTGTTTTAGAACTACTAATTCTTTCTCTTTGTATTTTATGGTTTCATCCCTCGCTGTTGTAGTATTTCTGTTTATTGCTTTTTTGGTCTCACTTGTACCTCTCTGGGAAGTCTATTTCTTGTTGCATATCTACTATGAACTCTTTTCTTTGGATATCTCTTAAGACATTTGCCAGCAGCTCTGCCATTATCTCCACCAAATTTTCTCCCTTTTCTTCAATGTTCTGAAAACATAAATAATAATCAGCCTTATCCATCTCCAGTAATATTACTGTTCCCTCCTGATTTTTGTCTGCCAAGGTAAGTCTATGATCAACCTCTTCTACTGTTTTCTCTGTTTATTCAACTTTTTCTTCTACTTTCTGGATGCATTGTTTATTTTTAGCCATTATTTGTTGAAAATTTTCTATTTTATCCTCTACTTTTCCTATTCTTTCCTTGAGGTCTTCATGCATGACTTGGAGCAGAGCTTTCATCTCTGCCTGCATCATATTCATTTTTTCTTGTTGCGACATCGTGTCCATGACCTTTGACCTACTGGGCTGGATGCTGCTGATGCTGAAGATAGTTTTCTTCATTTTGTGATGCTTTAATTACAATTGCGATTAAATTGTAATCCCAAAGATGTGATTATAATCCACAAAAACAGAGAAATGAAACTATTATTTATAATTCAAAGAGAAAGTGAAAATATAAATTGTAATCCGAGAGTTATTAGACTGTTAGCCCTTCATTCTTCAAAAAGTGTTCTGTTTCTATTGTTAAATTTACAACCCACACAGGCCCAGGAGGTGGGCTTCTACCGGTTCGGCCCGATTCTATAGAACCGGTTGTTACCGTTCCCGGTAGTTCGGAGAACCGGTAAATCAGGCCTCTGGCTGTCCCCGCCCCTCTCCGCCCGCTACTCCACTCCCTGCCCAACCAGTCCCTATCATGCATGCACAACATCGTGTGCATGTGCAACAGACTGCAGACTGTTTTGCTGCCTGCCTTTCACTGCGGCCCTGCCCAATGTGATGATATCCCTGGGTGAGTGTAAGCCCCGGTCACCTTTCCCCCACTACTTGCCTTTTGTTTCGCCCCTTCTCTCCCCCCCACTGCTTACATTTTGCTGGCGGTGCCGGTCGCTTTTCCCCCACCACCAACATTGTCTTCCACCAGGGAACATGTGGAGAGGCTCCTGTTGGCTCTGGCCAGGTCAGCGGCTACTTAACTCACCTGCTGTTCCAGCTGGGAGAGAGAAGGAGCCTCTCCTGAGAACAAAAAGCTTGCAAGTCCCCCCTCCTTTCAGAACGGCTCCTGTGCAGCAGAGAAGGAGCCTGGTTGAATCCTATTTCTCCCTGCTGCCCTGGAGCTATTTCCAATGGGAGGCTTGCAAACTTTTCACTCTCAGGAGAGGCTCCGTTGCTTCCACAGCAAGAGCAGGTGAGAGAAGGAGCCCAGAGCCAACACGACACACGAGCCTCTCCACTGTTCCTTCGAGCTGGGAGAGCGAGGGAACCTCTCCCGAGAGCGAAAAGGTTACAAGTCCCCCTTTCTTCATAATGGCTCCTGTGCAGCAGAGAAGCAGCCCTCTCTGCTGCCTGGCAGCTGTTTCTGTCCAAAGTTTCCACCTTTGGCTCCTCAGCCCCATCCCAACCCAGCCGAGTCTGCACTGGCCCGGAGTGAAGCCGGCCTCTTTGAGCTCTCTCATCGCTTGCTGCCAACCCCCACCGGAGCCTCTAGACAGGCTTGGGCAATCTCAATCCTTCACAGGAAGCTTGCAACGCATAGCAGTGGCGATAGCTATGGCAGCGAAGTGGAGGGCAGGAGGCAGCTTGCGAGACAGCCCTTCCCAGGGGGGTGAGCTTGACCTGGGTAAGGGATAAATAGGCAAAGCGAAACAAGCCACCCTGCCTGGCTGTTAATTTGGCCATGCTGGCTGGGAGAGAAGAGAACGTTTTTCTCCCCCTGGTGCTGCTGTGGCTGGATCTGGATGGCGGAATGCCCACCCCTGGGGAACGCCCTGCCATTGCTGCCCTGGTGTGCTCTGCTGCCACTGTCTCCAAAGCCACCCAAGAAAATTCCCCACCACTGGCGCGGTTCTGGGACGTGTCGCCACCACTCACTTCCCCCCACTGCTTGCCTTCTGCAGCAAAGGCCACCAAAGATGCTGTCCAAGGAAATTCCCCACCACAATTGCAATTCCAGGATGCACTGCCGTGGCTGGGCCAAGCCAGCAAGCTTTCTTTGGCACTCTTTGCTACTTCTTCATTTTGGAATCCAGACTGGCTGAACAACAATCACCAACCGTGGTGAAAGCATCCCTTCAGGCAACCCTCCTTCTCTCGCAACCAGCAGCTATTGTGGGGCAGGGGGGTCCACACACATGGGGAGATGCTCCTCAAGCAAGTGCCAAAGCACAGCAAAACCAGGTGTAGGGCAGGTGGCTGCTCGCTTGGGGAGGGTCTCCCCGTGCATGACCCCCTTGTCCCACCAAAGCTGCTGGTTGCGAGAGGAGGAGGAGGAGAAGGGTCGCCCAAAGGGATGCTTCCACCGAGGCTGGCGATCGTTGTTCAGCCAGTCTGGATTCCAAAAAGAAGAAATGAAATAAGTAGCAAAGAGCACCAAGGAAACCTTGCTGGCTTTGCCTAGCCGCAACTTTGAGAGAGAGAGAGGGAGGGAGGGAGAGAGAGGGAGAGAGACACAGAGTGGGGGAGAGAGACGGGAAGATAGGGAGAGGGGAAGAGAGAGAGAGAGAGAGTGGGGGGAGAGAGAGCCATAGAGAGAGATATACGGGGGGAGGGAGAGAGGGAAAAGAGAAAAAGGGAATGATAGAGAAAGAGAGAGAGAGAGAAGAAAGAAAAGAAAGAAAAGACAGAAAAAAGAGAAAGGAAGCGAATGAAAGAAAAGGGGTAGACAAAGGGAGAGATGGAAGGAAGGGAGAAAGAAAGGAAAGAAAAGGAAAGGAAAGGAAGAAAAGGAAAGGAAAGGAAAGGAAAGAAAGAAAAGGAAAGAAAGAGGGAGGAGAAAGTGAATGAGATATATGGATGGATAGATAAATACATGAAGGGAGGGAGAGAGAAAAAAGGAAAGGAAGGAAGAACACAAACCCTGGCTTCAGATGGCTCTGAAACAGCACAGCAATCTAGGGCTGGAAGGGATCTCAGAGGTCATCTAGTCCAACCCCCTGCTCCAGCAGGAGATCCTTATAGAATCATAGAATAGCAGAGTTAGAAGGGCGTGTGTGTGTGTGTGTGTGTGTGTGTGTGTGTGTGTCTGTCTGTCTGACAAAACTCCAAAAATAGATCAAGTAGCTCTGGCGAGATCAGTCATAAATTAGAATACTTGGTAGCAGTTGGCCATTAAGCAAGGACCAGTCACATGGCCACCTGGCCCCACCCACCCAGTTTCATGGCCACCAAGCCACACCCACCCGGTCATGTGACCACCAAGCCACACCCACAAATTAAGCCACACCCACAGGACCGGTTGTTACAAAAGTTGAATCCCACCCCTGCATCGGCCCCCAGAAATCCCAGAGTTCAACCAGCCAACTGTCTTGTATCTTCAAAGGGAGAGTTCACAGAGCAACAAACAAAAAAGGAGTATTTTACTGTTCACTTTGTCTATTTAGCTTCTGCTTGACTTCCAAGACCTACATTATTTTAAAAAGTCTCTGTATTTCACTCTGTCTCAGCTAGCTTACTGATATAGATATTACTTAATTTAGCAGCCAACTCTTATCATTATCTTCAGTCTCTTAAAGTTATATTTTCTTTTATTTTCTCGCTTGCACCCTTCAACTTGTGCCAGCAGGCGTCATTGTTGCTCTGCTTCTCTCCCTTTTATTTTATATTGTGTTATCCAGTCCAGATTTTCCAAAACAAAGAAAATTCTTTAAGTCCAAATGTTATAATCTCCAAAAGCTTTCCAAATTGATCATATCCTCCTAATTTTAAGGCTTTTTCACTCTCTTAAAAAATTCTCTCTTCTTCTTTCCAGTTTTAAAAATGGCTCTCTGGCTTGCTTGCAGCTTTTCTTGGAAAGTGGAAGAAGAACAAATCCACTTCTTTTTGAGTCCCATTCTCTCCCAGGCTAGTTTCCAGGGGGCTCAATAGCAGTTAGAAGTTAGAAATCTCTCACCTAGATCATTCACACTGTTCCTCAATCTTTCGTGCTTTCTTCATCGGTCAGCTGTCCCAGCTTTGATCAGGCACACAATAGCTGTCTTTTTCTTCCTGCTGGATTGAAAGTCTTCTCCGGATCGATCAGGAAGTTTGTGAGCGGAGTGTGCTCTCTTACTTCATCACCCCTCCAAGGTGATTTAGGTCCATCACAACCTCCTTGCAGTTTGAATTTTGGTGCGATCCCACATAGCCCCGTGGAATGCGTCATATTGTCGCAGCATCATCCCTATCCTCTTTGTCCAGGTAGTTTTCTTGACGCTAGTTTGTCACTGTTTTGACACTGCCACCTTCTAGGGTATCTTTTTACTTTACTATAGCCTTGAGTTTCTTTGTCTCTCATTCAAGTGGTAATCAAACTTTGCCCTATTTAACCTTTGAGCCAGGGTAGGTGCTTCCATCTACTGTAGAGAGACATCTCATACGTATCAGTGCTTTGTAAACTAGAGATACATAAATCAATCACAGTTCAATTTGAATTCAAGATTCAAAAACGGCAAGATTCGAATCAAACAAATTTTGACTCAACCAAATTTCAAGTATATGCTATAATGGGAAAGTTCTCTGTAGTTCTTTATATTTTTTTATGGAATGGATTTTTTTTTTTGGCAAGTATAGCAGAAATATGGAAAGAACAGAGCAGCCTCTGGGATGTCCATCAAAAAGCTTAGAGACACATTGTGCAAAATCAGCACAGAATGGGTCAGATTCTAAATAACAACAGCAACTTTTTAAAAATATAAGCTCTTACTAAAATTCAGAGAATGTGCCATTCTCTTACTAAATGCTTTTCTAGGCTGCCCATTCACTGACAGTGTTAGCCTCTTTAATTATTGTTGCATAAGTTTTACTTAAAAAAAACATTTGAGATGTATATTACTACTATGGCAAATATAATACACTAACCTAAAGAAATAGTCTGTGTTTATATACAAGCGTATTATCTCAAACCAGTTCAACTTAACAACAAAACAGAGAGACAAATAGTAGAATGAGAACAGGATGGTTTATTTCTAAAATTGTTGAGAAGTAGGAAAAACATAAAGAGAGGATGAATAGCAAAAGAAGCCAACAAAACTCAGATTTTGTAATGTAAAACCCATAGATTGATAAGACAGAATAGAAATAAAATGGGATGAATTGATGGAAATATGGAATATCACTCAAGGACAATCAATCTAGACTTTTTTTTAAAAAAAAAACCTTCCTGAATAAATTTTAGCAGTGAGAGCAAACAACAAAGTGGCTATACTGCCTCTCCCCCTTCCCCCGCCGGATGTTCTTCATAGGCAATCTGCTTATGGCAGAGTGAGGATTTGTGGGAGTCATCAAACAACTTTTCCTAACATTGTTCACATGTAAACAGAATGTTTAGACTTCTTCAAAGCAAGAAACAGCAGATAATCCATCAAAAGTCTACATCCTTTAAAAGCACATTATTTCTTTCAAAGCTTTGCATCACTTTAGGTATTACTTCGTTTACACTTGCAATTCTATCTCTAAGTTAGTCTAAAAGCTAAGTTATGTAATATTTAGCATAGCGTTACCTATTGGTAATAACTGAATTGTGTTTTTTATTTAGGTTTGGTGCTTTGACAATGGATGGTGGCCCGCGAAATGTAGATTGTATGTAGCTATATATTTACCATTATAGCTGTATTGACTTTGCACAGCAAGAACCTTTATACGCAAAAAGAATATTCTCTTTTTGCATTTCCCTCAGTATTTAACAGAAATATGTAAATATGTATATACTGTAAATATGTAGATGTTATGTTTTGGTAATGTTAAAAGTAGTTTTAACATTTTCCATAACATCAAGATTTTTCCCTATATAAATATGTGTAGCAGCATATTGTGGTGATTTGAGTACATTGACATAATTTTAAAAGTTCTTATTTCATTTTTGTAAATGTTACCATAAAAATTGTGGCCTTTGAACTATCATGTTCTTTAAAAAATGATGAGGGTTTCCTTTAAATCATCTCAATAAAATCTCAATAATGAAAATCTAGAATTTCCTGTTTTATTGTGAATATATATTTGTCACCAGTAACAGAAATATTTTTGGATTTTTAAATCATTGTATTTTTTCTAATTGGCACTTAGAGCTATATTCAGCCTTCATTTGCTAAATTACAAGTGAATTGCAAACTTGAAACCTTTTAAAATTATTTTCTTTAAGACAATACTCTATTTCAAATTCAGTGAATCATGGTAATTTTTATTGTTAAAAAGGTTGTATGTGTTTCTAAATATAATTTTAAATCCTAGCCCTAACATGATAACATGCAGATTCATAATAAACAACTTTGGTACAGAGAATATATTGATTCTGATCATTCAAGTATTCTAATAAAATATTAGAAAATTGTTTCCTTTTTTATTACAGTCATACAGGTAATCCTCAACTTACAACCACAATTGAGCACAGAATTTTAGTTATAAGTCATTGCAGTCATAGGTCTAATGACCAGATTCAATTTTTATGTCTATATGTTAATTGTTAAATGAGTCACTGTGATCATTAAGTAAGTGGTGCAGTTGTTAAGTGAATTTGGTCGTAAGTCCAAATCCAATTTATCCAATGGCCATTTTTTGCCCGAAACAGCAAAAACCATCACAAAGCTTGTTCATGTGACTGCAGGATGCTGCAACTGGTTGTAAATGCTCCTGATCATGTGACTAAGAGTGGTGCAGCAGTTATAACTTCAAGGATAGATTACAAGTAACTATTTTCAAGTTCATTGTAACTTAACAGTTGTTAAGCAACAGGTCTTAAGTCAAGAACTATCTGTATTAAGATTTGATCATCTTAAATAAACCAGAAGTTACAGCAGTTTGCACAAATATGTTTCATGCAGATGTCCCACATACAGAGTTTGATTCAGATGTATGGTTATACATGCTTAGAACTAATCCACTGAAAATACTGGGGGTCTTTTAAGTCTTATAGGAGTTGATTCTGAATAGATCTGACTCCAACCCACAAAAATATTTGAAGTTTCACTTCCGGTGATTAATTCTTGCAGGCCAATCAAACCAAGCTAATGACATCCTGTTGACTTCAGTAATAACTTATTTTCCTGTTTGTCAGGTATCCAAGGCTGGTGTATCAATCTGTTCTGAGTCACTCCTAGAACGGACTAGCTAATTTGATGTTATTTCAGAATTAGATAGCTTGAAGCTTTATGCACATTGTGTTTGTTTCAGTGGAAAGAAATATAAAAAGCAAAACAAAACACCTAATTTCTATATAGACAGGCACTTGGCATTTGAAAGTTAAATAATAATAGTGTTTGTTCCTCGTGGTCTCCTGGTTTCTAACCTTATACCTTAACATGTCAACATAAGAAAAATATGTCTAATAGTTTCAACATTCAGTGCAATTATGACTTTTATCTTTATGTTGGCAGCTAAATATATTTGAGAGTGAATCATTTTTCAGCACTGCAATATTTCTACTTTCTCTAAAGTTTATGGTACGCAATTCTATCTTAGGGGAACAAAGTAGAGATTTAGGAAAGATGCAGAAAACCATGCTAGCAAAATCTAATTATGCTATATTTGCTGCCATAAACTTTAACCACAAGATTGTATGGATTTGTGTTGAGTAATCATGTCACTGCAGAAAATGTGGGATCTCGGTTTGTTTAGTTCTACTGATAAATATGCTTAGAAATATGCTCAGAAATATTCCAACATTCACTATCTAAAATATAGTAAAGAGGATCTCCCTTGTTTTAGACAATTCATGTGTAAAAACAGCTATAATGCACTGCAACTGGGAGTTGTCTATGTACAGTATATGTAAAATTGCAGCCTGCAGAAACTTAAAGTAGATGTCCTTCTGCACCTATCTTGTAATTCGAATACTGCCCCTATTCAATAGCCTAATACAAAAGTAATCAGTGTTAAGTAGCAGAGTGTCAGGTGTTAAATAAGCGTCAACCTGACACATTTAAATGGCATACATTTCAGTGCTTCTGCCCTGAGTTTTCTTGAGTGGGAGCATGGCCAAGGATGTCCTGCCGCCAGTCCTGCCACCGGACAAGAAATCCTGAAGGATACTGCAAACAAGCTCTGAGGCCAGTTCATGGTGAAGGACACAAGAGGCAATGTGGTTCTATCCCAAGAGTTGGAGGAAGGGCAACATTTCTGGACTAGTTCCTAAAGTGGCTCAGCCTATATACAGCGTGGTGGGAACTGTGCTGGAGAAAATGCTTCCCGCTCAGCTCAACAGGATCCCAAGTTCCACAGGCGAGAGCAAGCAAGGAGTGCCCAAGATGAAAGTGCTATGGATCCTCGTTCCCCAGCCCCAGGAACACTTAGGGCACCCTTAAAAGGAGCTACAACCACTGTTGTCTTTGCAGCTTGGTTGTTGACAACAAACAGTGCTATTGCCCCCTCAAGTTTGGACCATTTTGGAATCTCAGTAAGTGCGCTGGCCCCAGTTGAGGTGGCCACATCGATTCAGAAGGACTACAGCATGCTATGACTTCTTCTGCCGCTACACCTGCTGGGTGAGCTCTTGCTGCCTAGGCAAATTAGGTTGCCCACCCTGGTCTTCCTGCAGACGACTCCCACTTTCATCTGCTTTGTCCACAACTGCCTTTCCGTGCGTGCCTTGATATTCCGAGGGTGTTGCACCTATATGGATGTGAACGCTGCTCCCCTAATTCTATGCTACTCTCATCATAACCCATGAAGAAGAATGGCTGACAATCAACCTGTACTAGAGTCTTCTACCTGTCCATTGAGATGTTTATTTTCTGATTATATAAATATACATATGTAATTGTAAATACTCTGTATTTAAAACAAAGTATATTTTTTGTATCTAAAACCAATAATTTTAGTTTCAGAAGCTCTAAAAATGTAATGAACAGATTAATATTAATTGGCCAAGTAGGCCTACGTGATGCATTTCTTTAACCAGGAGGCAAATTTTCATGGTGTCAAACAGTAGCATTTCCTGCCTCCACCTCCTTCTCTAGCCATTATTTTAGCCTAGCAGATTCTGCTTACTATATTCTATTCAATCAATCCATTTTATTTACCACCACCATTTTCAGAGTGACATTTCCCTGCAAGCATGGCTTTGTTAGTATGTTAAATTGTACAAGTGGGAATTTGCAATGTGTTTCAATTCAACAATGGGAACTCCTTAATGCTGTAGAAGATTTTGTGGCTTTCCCCTTCCACACATCTACTAACCATTCCTAGTTGGGCTGTATAGATTTTTGGAATTAATGCTTATATTTGCTATGGAGGGTGTTTAGGACATAGATGGCACACATTGAACGGAGGGGGAGTCCTTTTTCTCTTTATTCTTGATAATTTTCTATAATAATTTTCTATAATTTATATAATTATCTCTTTATAAAGAGATAATTAATTTTAAAAACATAGTGTATATTCTCCCTTCCCATACACACAATACTAAAGAAAGAAAAAGTTGAGATTTTCAGAATCTGCTTTGAAAAACTAGAAACCCAGTCTTTACTTACACAGATTTATTTATTTATTTTTGAAGATCGGAATTCATGATACGTATAAAGAGACGATCTCTTCCAGATCGTCACCGCTACCTTCTTCCTCACAAGCAAAGCAGAGGGGCTTTGGGGTAGAAAAAAGAACTAGTGAAACATGGTAAAGAATAAGCTTATTAAATGAAAGTAACCATAAGCTGAAATAGAGATAAAGATAGCAAGATTTTAAAGTTGCAGAATTTTGTGCAATATTTGGTTGCAAGAAGAAGAAAACATTGGAGAGCAAGCTTATTGTATGAAAATCAGAGCTAAAGATAGCAAGACTAAAGTTGTGGAATTGGCCGTAATACTTTGTAAAAATAAGCAATAAAAGGTTTTTCTAGAAAGAACAGGATAATTGCTGTATGATTACAAGCAATAGTAAACAAAAATGTTTGGATTATAAATACTGTAAGAAAAGCTCAAGCCAAGTTTACGGAGTTGTTTCTCAGTCTTTAAAATATTCCTGAACTATTCTAGAGTGTTTCCAGCTAACTTTTGCTAAGTCAGCAATCCCTACAGCAACTCCCAAATAATTGGTGATATTACTGAAAAGCTAAGTAAAAAGAGACCTGACTATAAAGACAGTGCAACCAATAAGGCTCACAATTTCACTGGCTACATTTATGGAAAAAGGAGAATGAAATGGTGTGGATCCTTCTAAATGTCCTGCATATAATATCCATTCAGCTGAGTCCGATTCTTGGTGATTCTGTAGGCCAGCTCTCTCTCCACATCTTCTGATCTTGCACTAATACTTCGAGCTTTTCTATGCTCTGGTTGATGTCAATTTTGATAGTGTCTAGTCACCGTGTTCTTTGATGCCTTAAGTTTCCTTTTACCACTAACCCTTCCAAACATAATTACTTTCTCCAGTAAATTCCCTGCATGACATGACTAAAGTCAGTGAGATGAAGTTTTGTGATTTTGCCTTCTAGTGACATGTCTGGTGTTATACACTCCAGTACTTACTAGCACCACAGCTCAAACAAGTCGATTTTCTTTCTGTCTTGCTTTTTTAAGATCCAACTTTCACGACCATAAATAACATAGTAGAACGAACTATTTGGTTGCCAGGTTGCCCTTGCTTTTCTGTATTCTGCAAGCAACCGAAGAAATATTGACCCAGTATAGGTAGTCCTCAACTTACGAGCACAATTGAGTCCAAAATTTCTCTTGCTAAGTGAATAATTTGTTAAGTGAATTTTGCTTCATTTTACGATTTTTCTCACCACATTTGTTAAGTGAATCACTGCAGTTCTTAAATTAGTAACCCAGTTGTTAAGTGAATCTGGTTTCCTCATTCCCCATTGACTTTGTCAGAAAGTTGCAAAAGGTGATCACATGACTCCAGGACACTGCAACTGTCATAAATATGAGTCAATTGTCAAGCATCCAAATATAAATCAGGTGACAATGGCGATGCTGAATGATCATAAGTGTGAAAAATGGTCATAACTTACCTTTTTCAGTGCCGTCCAATGGTGATATTCGACCAGTTCGGGCCGGTTCTGGTGAGCCGGTAGGAGCAATGGGCAACGGAGACCAAACCGGTTCTCTCCGCCACTCTGCTGTTGGGGTCCACCCGCCCAGGCTCCCATATTCACTTTTATCTGCTGAATTTGAAGTGCAGCTGCTTTGCATGGCACAGAATAGTGCTGCGTGACAGATGCTGAAGCGACTGGGATCGTGCAGGCTTGCAGGAGGCGAGTTTGAACACTTCTGCACCTGTGCAAACGTCTCTGTGCCTGCACAAAGTGTGCGTTTGGCGCACATGCAAAGTGTGTGCACATGCGCAAAGTGCGCCCATTAAGCCACACCCACCGAACCGGTGGCAACAATATTTGAATCCCACCACTGGTGCCATTGTAATTTTGGTCATTAACTGAACTGTTGTAAGACAAGGATTACATAGATGAAAAATATAAGACATTTTGTGAAATACAGTTTATTTCGGTTGTAAACTTCATCATGGATTTCCTGGAGGGAAGAATTGTATTTAGTAATCACTCTTTCTTTTGTCTCAGGATAACTTGTCCTTAAAGATCTGAGATGCTTTCTTGAACCACAAAGCACCTTATTTGTCCTTTTAATCTACAGTATTACTTCCTTACTCCCCATTGTATACTTTTTGGAATGAAACAATTTGCTGCGGCCATCTCACCATGGCCAACTTGATGTGATCATCTTGACAAAGCCAACTTGCTGCAGGACAGCTTGCCACAGCTAAGTTGCCATAGGATAATTTGCCATGGAAAATTCTATGTGCGATAATTCAATACAATGTTATCTGGCACTGTTTCTTTGACATGATTTCTATCTTTATCAATGGAAATAATGTCAAAGAAACAGTGGAAGATAACCTTTATTGCATTTAGTTTAGTTTATTGTCATTGCACTTCGTACAACAAAATCAAATGCCATCTTCAGTGCACATCATGACTATGAAAATAAACACAAACACAGATCCTTCATCCTCCACACATTGAACTGAAAACCCCCGACACCACACCAACACTGCACTATACAGCAGAATTTAAAAGAGCTACTTCCCTGGGATAGAAGCTGTTTTTCAGCCTATTTGTCCTTGTTTTTATTATTCTGTACCGTCTGCCAGATGGTAATAGTTCAAAAAAAGGGTTCCCAGGATGAGATGGATCTTTGAGAATGTTTTGAACTTTCATTGATAATAATTGAGTTATTTCATGTGGAATTTTCTATGGTGAGCTGTCCCGTAACAAGTTTGCCACGATGAAATGGCCGCTGCGAGATAGCCATGGTGAGATGGTCATGACAAGCTGTCCTAGACCCTATTCTGTTTTCTTTCTAAAGCAGCCCCAAATAATTGGTGATGTGACTGAAATTTGCCTTGTTAATTGACTGTTATGGCTATTTCACAGATTCTTAACTTTGCAAAGGGTTACCAGCACCAGCTTAGCTTTCTAAAGTACAGATAGCCCTTGACTTACAACAGTTCAGTTAGTGACCAAAGTTACAATGGCACTGAAAAAGGTGAGTTATGACTATTTTTCACACTTATGACCGTTGCAGCATCCCCATGGTCACCTGATTTACATTTGATGTTTGACAACTGACTCGCATTTATGATGGTTACAGTGCCTGGTGTCATGTGACTCCCTTTGGCGACTTTCTGACAAGCAAAGTTATGAGGTTACTAGATTCACTTAAAAAACATGTTACTAATTGAATAACTGCAGTGATTCACGTAAATGTGGTGAGAAAAATTGTAAAAGGGGGCAAAACTCACTTAACAAATTACTCACTTAGCAACAAATTTTGGGCTCAATTGTGGTCGTAAGTTGAGGACCACCTGTATCTTTTCATTGGTTGAAAATATCAGATTTTCAATATGCATTGTAAAATAGCTTACACATTGTAAAGTTGTGATAATATTCATGTTTTAATGGGTATTTGAATATTGGTGCCCTGTTTTGGGTTTGGGGATGCTTTTTTGTTCAATGTAGATTTTTTGTTGATTTTAGTTTTAATTTACATGTGTTAAAGTTACTGAATGGTAAGGATTTTAACCAGAAGCTTTCAGTATGCATAGCAAGCTTTTAATATTTGTATTGTATTTTACTGTATGAGCTGCCAGTCTCTTGAGACTGTACAATGTACAAATGGTTCTACTGTAATAAATAAATAAAACTATTCATGTGATGCATTCTGCCCTTAGTACATTCCATCCCAAATTACTGATATTTAAATAAAACATTGTATTCTGATTTTGCTGAAGCTTTGTCAGAAAAAAATAAAAATGATGTAATAAAAATGTTAATCCTATAAATGACAGCTCACAATGAAATTACCATATAATTGTTTTACAACAATTTAGAGGAGGTTTTTTATTCTCTAGTTCCTATTTGCAACTTTTCAAAGTGATTTACAGTATAACATTAAAAAATATTATCATCTCACTAAGAAGTAAAAAAGGTTATACCACACAACTCACTCTACCAGTAGGTAAATAATCTCAAGCATTGACCGTTGTATCTGAGAACTGTTTTAATGGCCCTTTTAAATGATAGCAAAGAACTGTTAAAATTTTAACCTCATTTCTAAACAAAAGGTTATATTCCAGAAGGAAGAAGCTACAGTGGGAAAACATTGCTTCTGCCCCTAACATTTTCACAAGGTGGCGGGGGGGATACTTTGAGCATTCTTTCTGGAGTGAGAGATGTGATGGGACAGTTCTAACTAAAAGAGGCAATCCAGAGATACCTTCAGAGCAAAGCTATGCAAATATTTAGAGGTTAAATTCAGCACTTTGAACTGAATCCCAAATTCTTATTAGAAGCCAATGCAGCTGTCGGGACCTGGTGTTATGTGGTAGCGGTAACTTGCCCATTTTGCAGTGATTGCAGCTTCCAAGTTTCCTTCAAAGGCAGTACTATACCTATAAAGTCCATTGGAATTCCCTAGCCTCAAGTTGGTGCTGTTGCCATAGCTGTGCAACATTTCTTCTATTTGTAGTCTCCACCTGCAAATCCAGGAGTAGCTGGAAGTCCAGGAGAATCATCAAGCACTACTTTAAAAAATATAATCCTATCCAGAATCAAAGTAGTAACCACAGGCAACCAGATGATTTTGGAATAAACTATCATGGAATGATTCAATGGTGGCTTGTATTTTTTTCATCTATACCCATACGACTTCCACAGTGAGCCAAAACTGACATCCTATCTCCAATTCTAACCATAATAGCTGTACGCTGTGTATCCTCTGCATATTGATCAAACTTCATTGTGAAACAAAGCATAAAATCTCTTTTTTATGTATGTATTTAAGAAGCAGGAGCAAACTAGCTTACTCATCTAGCTTTCTCAAGGGAATAATCATTCTGTTGATCATTCCTACCTGCCACCATCAACCATTACTGACCACTCGAAGAAAGAGTCAGATCACTATAACACAATGTCTCCTGCTTTCAGTCCTAAAGGAAGTCAAGAGGGATACAATAATAGAGAACCTATGTCAACCCCTCAAAGTAAACCAAACCAAACCAAAATTATGAATACTAATGCTACTTTTATTATAAGGTTATGGTAATACCATTGCAAGTGTGAATACGTTCTTCCCTCCATCCTTTCTTATCTTCATGAGAACTGGGGAGAATCTTGTATGAGATTCTTTCTCAAATTACTTTTCTGGCCCAGATTCAGAATTCTTTTATTGTCTTGGTTGCATCTCCTCTGCCCGTTTCTCAAAATTATTCCTTCTCCCCATTATAGTACAAGCCACACCAAGAGATCTAAAAAGTTCAGAAGAGTTGTACTATCCTCAAATAATGCACAATCATCGACCAGCTCCTAATATTTATTAGAATGGCTGATCTAGTTTCACTCCCACACCTAAGCCTGAGCTTACATTAAAAGTGATCCTGATAAAAATCCATTTCCCCAATGGACTCTCTACTTTTCCAGCAAATGGAATTGGCAATGGGTTTTAATTGGCCAATATTACTAGATCTAGAGAAACCACCTGAGGAGCCTTTCTCCATAAGAAGCATTATTAATTTGACTCTCTTGTCTGTATGGGTTCAAGAGAAATAATGGTAGAATAACAGAGTTGGAAGAGATCTTTGAGGTCTTTTAGTCCAGCCCTCTGCTTTAATGTCAATTAAATGTCTTCTATATTAACATTATTATCTACACAATTGAAATATATTTATGATAGGTCCCAAAATATTTATTCTTGAGCCTTTTTTTCTATTATTTGGTCTTGAAATACTTTCTTGTTCTGTATATAGTGTTGCACATAATAGATTTATTTCAACAGGATATTTATCTCTTATATTTAAATTAATACTGAAGAAAGAATTGTAATACATCTGGCACAATTGGATATGTTTGCTTTGTTTTCAGGGAATAAGGTTCTAGGAAAAATAATCTTGATTCAGTTGGCAAAAAGTAAGTTAAAAATAACTGAAAGTGGAATGTTAAATGTTTAACATATTTTACTGTCTCTGAAATATAAATATACAATGAACAGTTGATACTCTGCATTGTTAATCAAACTTTTCATCATTTTAGTTTCATAACTTCGACAGAATCCTGAGTTTCATAACTTCAACAGAATCCTGCATTTAGTCAAAAGACTATTAACCAGATGAGAAAAGCTAAAGAAATGATAAACAGAATCAAAATGTCAAAAGCTATAAACTTTTTTCAATTGAATGCAGTCAATTTAAATAATTACATACTGTGTCTGAAAATCAAAATATTAAATTGTCATTGTTATATAAAATCAGTCCTCAAAAAGGTCTTTATTTGTATTTAAGTATGTCATTTAAGAAGACTTACCTTGGCAACATGAAAAACAATCTGAGACCTTTCCAGTTTATTCCATAAGTGGATTCTTTCACCAGCAAGAATAGTGGTTTTTAAAGCTATAGTACATCTGGAAAGCCTAACATACATACTTAGAAGAAAATTGGAAACTATAAAAAGAAAGTATTCCTCAGTAAATATAGTAATATGCAGCTCAGATACGTATTCTTCCCTGAATGGGAAAGAGAGGATTTAGGACTGACAGGTGGTCCTGAGACATACTGTCTGAGGTTCTATTCACAGCTTTGGGGATTTAAAGTGTCCCCCCTTTCCGTTCTGCAGTTTGCTGCAGTTATCTGAAGATCAGTTGACAATCAGTTGTCATTATGGCAATAAGACATGACTTTCATAAAACAATTAGAAGGATAGCCCAGTTTTTTTATTGGTTCCCAAAATCACTAGGAAGCCCAAGAAGCAGACATTTTAAACTTCTCTGGAAAACTTCTGGTAAGTTTATTTTATTCTTTTTTCTTGCAACAAATTGCATACGCATTTGATTATAATAGAGCTAAAAGTTTTGTTAACCTACCTATGTCAGATAAAAATATTCTAAGTCTCAGGTTACTCTAAGCAGGCTTACTGTTTGAATATGGCGGAGAGGGATTTACTCCTTTATTTAAGCCCAAACATCTCTATGTAATATAAGGAACTCCATTTGAAACTTCTGTAATTCAGAAAACTTGATCTGCCATTAGACTTAGGCTGTGAAACAAGAAAAATGCATTCCAACTACTGTTCTCTTCATAGGAATGGTTGTGCTGCAGTTTGAATTCTTTTGTAAGTGTGTTACTACGGCATCCAAACCTGGAAAGTTGCTGGAAAATCCGAGTAGTTACCTAATCTCATGCCTTTATTTTTTTGTATTAATTTAAAACTGCTTTGCTGAATCAACCATCTGATCTGTAATAAGATGGTAAAAACTATGTTGCTTCTTATTAAAACCTAAGATCTGTTAACTGAAGCTGATGCAAAAGAAATCATCTTAGAATTAAAAAGTTATTTTCATAGTTGTGCATATAAGTCTTGCTGCTATTGTCATATATAAGAAACAAAGTTCTATGAGTTTTTTCCCAATTATTTGTCCGTCAATCCCAAAAGGACTACCTCTGATTTTAGTTGTGAATCTTCATTAAGTCTTTAAGACCTTCTAAATCAATGTATGTGTATTTAAATACAATTTTAAAGCTTTTTTACATATCCACCAATCATGATAACGTCCCCTCTTTTTCAACATTTCCCCACATTTCCAACATATATTTGAAATACCTTTATACAAAACTATGGAAAGATTCAAAATTACCCACAATGAAAGAATGGATGGTAAAATGGTAAAATTGATGGAGCTGGCTGAAATAATACAGTGGTAGCTTTAATTAGAGGAAAGACATTTATTAATTTTAACGCTGATTGGAAATCTTTTTGTACTTTTTTCATGAAACGGGGAAAAATGAAATTCTGACATTTGGATTTGATGATACTAGACAAAATAATAGAAAAATATTGTAAACAATAAGAATTTAATCTAAATTTAAACTCAGACCTGCTGTAAAGGAAAGTTGGAAGTTTTTGTATTTCTTTTTCTTTCTGAACTATTAGGCTTTCCTTTTTTTCATTCTTTTTCTACTTTGATTATTAATTTTTGTTAGTTTTTTTCTTTTTACCTGAAAAATCTAATAAAATTGCCTACAAAAGAATTTTAAAGTTCTGAGTCTTGTTTGATTACTACAATAAGTCACAGTCATGACATAGTCATAATTCTAATAAAAAATCTATTTCTAATTTTAAATTTTTTCCTTTATAAAATAAGGTGGAAAGAACTTTGTTGCTATTTTTATTGGCGGTATTTCTAGTCAACTGAATATCAGTCATATTTTATCACTATATAAAGTTTCCATGGGTGATGGCTCCAAAGAGTGGAAAACTAAACACTAGTTTTCATTTCTTTTAGTCTAAAACAGGGCTGTCAAACTCAAGGCCCAGGGGCCGGATCCAACCCATGGGGTGCTTAGATCTGGCCCACGGGGCTGCCCCAGAAACACAAAGGACTGTCCCGCAGTGCCTCTGCCAGCGAAAACAGATCTCACATGCCCTTCGAGCTCCGTTTTCACCGGCAGAGGGCAGTAGGAGGCAGTCACAGCTGAAAATGGAACTCTGGAGCCCATTTTCGCTGGCAGAGCTCTTGGGCCTCCACAGATGCTCCTGATACAAGTGATGTCAAGCTGGCCATGCCCACCCTGGCCATGCCCCCACACCCCCATACCCCCAAGGTCAAACACAACCCTGATGCGTCCCAAAATGAAATTGAGTTTGACACCCCTGGTCTAAAACATATAGTTCAATTAAGTTTCTTTTATAACTTCATGGTAGTCATCTCCACAAAGTTAATTCAGTTTGCCGAGACACAGACTTTCAATTATTTGTGACTTAGATGGATCACATTTTTTCTTCTTCTTGCACCTCTTCAACTGTCTTATTTTTCCCCTTTCGATGAATACTCAGCTGTATTCAACAGTACTCAACAGTATTCTATTACTGTTGATCTGTTGAAAATCTGTTGAACACACATTTTTTTCCTCTTATTTTTGAACAGCAAAGTTATACTTCTTAATGGGAAGGTACTTGAGCACCTGTGTATACTTTTAGCTGGTATTATATCCAACTATGATTAAAACTGTTAAAATCAGTTCTAAATAATAATTTAAAAAGTACTCCCTGTAATAAACTCTACCTCCTTGGTAGGACTGTTATGTATTTTATTGATTCCATTAACGTTAATGTGCATTACATCTTCCAAAAGACACAGAAACCCATTAAAGCTGAGTGACATTCTAAAATGTAATTTTGTTCTTTAAAATCTTAAATTGGTATTTATTATTAAGGAAATGAATTCAGTTCTTCTGTGGCCATGTTACCTATCAGCACTAGGGGGCAGTAAACAATAAACTAAACATGCTATTTATTTTTGATAGTATAAAAGCTTTATTCTATTAAGGAAATGCTATTTTCAAACTATGTTCCATCCTGATTATAACTATGATAGAAAACGGTTCTGTCAGTTTTCAGAAATCATGGTTTGTATAAAACATTCTGAGTAAACAGAATTTTCCATTCAAAGCATTCATATAGTTTATTAAGAAATATAAAATAATAATTCCATATATTTTAATCATTTGAAATTAGAACAGCACTGAAAAAAAGTGACGACTTTTTTTCACGTTTGCTACCATTGCAGCATCCTCGGGGTCATGTGATCTGACCTTCTGGCAAGGAAAGTCAATGGGCAAGCCAAATTCACTTAACAACCATGTTACTTACTTAAAATCTTCAGTGATTTTAAAATCTGCATGGTTTCTGGATGAAATGGATTATCTCGCCCTTTACCAGTCAAGATTCAGGCCTGGATTTGGAACAGAAATGACATTGGTCGCACTTTTGGATGATCTCTGGTGGGAGCGGGATGGGGGTAATGGATATCCTTGCTCTATTTGACCTCTTGGCAGCTTTCGATACCATCGACCATGGTATTCTCCTGGAGCAGCTTCGGGGGATGGGAGTGGGAGGCCTTCTGCTATCCTGGTTCACTTTCTTCCTCTGCGGCCACTCTCCATCAGTGTTGATAGGAGGAGAGAGATCCAGCCCTCACCCACTGCTCTGTGAGGTTCTGCAGGGCTCAGTACTTGGTACTCGGTGCTCCTGTTCAGCATTTACGTGAAGTCGCTGGGTGAGATCATCCATCACCATGGACTGAGGTATCATCAATATGCTGATGATACTCCAGCTGTTTGTCTCAGCCCATGGTGAGTTAAGTGATGCTGTGTCCTCCCTCTTGCAGTGCCTGGAGCTTTTAGGGGCTGGATGGGGAGCGACAGGTTGAAACTGAACCCTGGCAAGACTGAGTGGCTCTGGGTTTGGGACTTGTTGGCCCTTGGAGAATTGCCACCTGTGGTCTTGGATGGGGTGGCACTACCCAAAATAGACCCTGTGTGCAATCTGGGGGTTCTCCTGGACTCACGACTCCTGTTCGAAGAGCAGGTGGTGATCATGGTGAGGAGAGCCTTTGCACAACTGTGGGTTGTACACCAGTTACGCTCTTTCCTGGACCAACAATCCCTACTCACAGTCACTCAAGTCCTAGTCACTTCTTGACTATTGCAACACACTCTACAAGGGGCTGCCCTTGAAGAGCATCCCAAAGCTTCAGTTGGTGCAAAATGCAGTGGCCTGCATGGTTTTGTGCAGATCCTGGTGTGCACATATATCACCTCTCCTGTGGGAGCTGAATTGGCTGCCAATTTGCTTCTGGATGCAATCCAAGGTGTTGGTTGTCACCTTTAAAGTCCTTCATGGCTTGGGACCAGGTTATTTGAAAGACCGTGTCATACCGGTCACATCTACCTTACCAGGCATGGGATTAAAAAATCCCAGCAATTGGTTCGCTGACCAGTTGCTGGGTAGGCATGGACATGGTGAACATGGCCTACCGGAACTTCTGGGAGGGCCATTTTTCGCCTTCACCGAGGTCTCTGGGAGGGTGAAAACGGCCTCCCCCAGCCTCCGGGGGGCTTCCAGAAGCCAGAAACAGGCTCATTTCCTGACTTCCGGAACTTCCAGTTTGGCCCATTTTTTGCCCTTCCAGATCCTCTGCACGGACCCTGCACTTACCTGAATCTAAAACGGGCCACATGAAGATTCCTGGGAGGGGAGGGGTGAGCTGGGCAGGGCCAGATGGTTGGTCCAACTACCAGTTCGGTGAACCAGGTGTAAATTTAACATGCGGTAGAATCCCACCTCCGTACCTGACCCATCAGAACAGGGAGGCAGGGAATGCTGCAGGTCCCATCCCCTAGGGCAGTGATGGCTACCTTTTCGGCACGAGTGCCAAAGTGCACATGCACACGTACATTGCCAAAATGCAATGTGTGCATATCCCCCGTGCATGCCCCCTGCCCCTGGACATGCATGTGTGTCCTCCATGCATGCATGTGCATCCCCTGTGCATGCATGTGCATCCCCTGCTCATGCACATGCATCTCTGCACAGGTACATGTGTCCCCCTGCATGCACCCCACCCCACGCATGCATCCCACCACTGCGCATGCATCCCACCCCAGCACATGCACGGCAGAGGCCCAAAGACCAGCTGGCTGGCAGGAGCTGAGCTGGGGCAACAGTTTGTGTGCCCAGAGAGTGGGCTCTGCATGCCAGTTCAGGCACACGTACTATGGGTTCACCATCACGGTCCTAGGTAGATACATCTGGTGGGACCCAGAAGAAGGGCCTTCTCTGTGGTGGCGCCCTCATTCTGGAACATCCTTCCCCCAGAGATTAGAATGGCCCCCACTCTAATACTCTTCTGGAAGGTGCTGAAGACTTTGTTCTGCCAGCGGGCCTGGGGAACCCAGAACGGGATGGAGCCCATTAAATGGTTCATGTGATCTGCTGTCTCTGGGGTGGAGGGTGTGGGGTGATTTTATTATATTAATTTATTTTATTCTTTTTTATTAGTTTATTAGAGGTTTTATATTCTGTAATCTGCCTTGAGTCGCCATGGTGAATAGGCAGCGATATAAATGTATATAAATTCAATAAATATATAATATTTCTATTCCCTCGCTTCCTCCAGACAGTCCAGCCAGCTTTTTTTAATTTTAAAATTTTATTTTATTATATAAAATCTAAAATACAAAAGAAAAGAAGATGTTAAAGGTAGCAAAGGGAATGGAAAAAGGGGGTCTGGAATACAAGCGGAAAAGAAAAAGAAAGAAAAGGGGGCATAAACTTCAAACTCTTCCTAGCTCAGTACAAGATAAACACACTCCAGCCTTAACTTTTTGCTTTTACACATTAATTAATTAACTAGCCATTTCTATAAAACCAAATCTTTCTAATCAACAAAACTAAAGTCAATGTTTCATTTTTTTTTCTTCACAGGCACAAATTCCAGAAGTGATATCCAAATAAGAACATATTTTCCTCTTTAAATAAAGTAATCAAGTTAACCATTCCTGCTTTATCTTCCTTGTTATGGAAATAATGTGTATTTCTATTTGTACCTAGTAATCCTTATAAACTATCACCCTTTTTTATTTATAAAATTTATTCTTTTCTTTCAAATTCTTTGGCCTAAAAAGGGAAGATCTTTCCACCACTTTCCCCCTCCTTTTTTCCTTCAAAGTACTAAACTTTTTTAAAAACCAAAAAATACACTTTTTTTCTTTTAAGTCAAAACTTTCTAATACTTCTTATTCTTTAACTTTAACATACAAGCTTTAAACTTCAATATTGCATTTCATTCCCTCTCTCCAAAGTACCCTTATAGAGTAATTATTTTCTTTTATAAACATCCTATTTAACAGAGTTTTTCTTTAAACTGGTACATCAGGCTTGTAACAAAAGTAAAAAATAACAAAAAAAGCTTCTTCCAACATGTTAAAAACAAGAAAAAAGTCAAGGAAACAATTGGTCCATTGCTGGGAGAAAGTGGCAAGAAGGTGACAAGCAACAGGGAGAAAGCAGAACTACTTAACTTGTTTTTTGCATCTGTCTTTACACAAAGGGAAAAAACAGCCCAACCTATCAAAAACAGCACCACAAAAAACAGATTAGGAACACAAGTTAAAATAGGGAAGAAAATGGTAAGTGAACACCTGTCCATCCTAGACGAGTTCAAACCACTAGGACCGGATGGATTACACCCCAAGGTTCTGAAGGAGCTGGCAGACGAGATATCACAATGAACAATATCTT